CTATGATCAGCTAGAGGGCGCCCAGCCCCCGTCTCTGCAGCCCGGGACCCCTGGCAGGTTAGAGGTCAGGAGCAGGAACGCAACAGGCTGCTGGGGCAGGCAGGGGCATCAGAGGAGACGTGGGGAGGGGACTAAGGGGCAGGGGACGGGGCAGTGGAGTCCCCTCCTCCCTCCCAGCCAGCCTCCCTGGCAAGAACCCAGCCTTCTGAGCCTCTGGCCTGCCCTAGCCTCTGTGTCCTCAGGTGTGTCCCCACTGCTCCTATGGGGACCCTCTCCCCACCTGTCCCTACCCACTGTACCCGCACACCTGCAGCTCCACCCACCACCACTCTGAGAAGCTGTTAGGCAGGGGGCCGCAGGCCAGGGATGGGGGACGGGTCAGGCCATGAGCTGACTGGGAGGGAGCCTGGGGCCCTCAGAGGCAGGACGGGAAGGGACATCCATCTGGGGACTGAAGCAGCCTTGTCCAGGGGGACAGGAAAGAGCTGATCCCCTGTCTGGCCGGAACTATAGGCCTCTGGATAGCCTGGGGTCAGTGGGGCCTGGCACATCCTGAGGGGCAGGAGGGAGAGACCTTGGGGACCCCTTCTCCACCTCAGCAGTGGCCCTCCCACCTACCTGGCCTCGGGCTGCAGTCCCACCGGGGGGCATCTGGGAGAGGAGCAGGGAGCTAGCTCTGGGTGGGGCTAGAGACCATGGCAAGAGGGGTTGCAGCCCCAGTGCAAGGGCTCCCCAGCAGGCCCCCCTCGGCTGCCCAGTCCTGGAGAAGACGTGCCCAAGGGCAGAAGGCCTGTCCTGGACAGAAGTTATCCTGTCCTCAGGGAGGCCAGTGGGGCCTGCTGAGAGGAGTCCACCAGACTCCAGGAATAGCGGGTCCCTCATGCCTCCCACTCGAGCCAGGCCCAGCCCGTCCCCACCTCACAGCCAGCGCTGGCCCAGGGATGGCTAAGTGTGGTGGGCCCCGGCCCAGATACTGGGCCCAGGGTGGCTTTGGCCTGACTGTCGGAGGTGACCCTAGTTGATGAGTGGGGTGCAGACTTGGTCAACAAGCCCTGCCTGGGAGGGCTGCTGGTCTGAGGGCCCGTCCGCACAGGGCAGGCTGGTGTGCTCAGCCCCTGGGAAGGGCTGAGGCCCTGCGTGCCTGGATGCTGATCGCCACTCCCAGCCCTCGCACCAGGCGGCCTCGCGCCTGCAGGCAAGCGTGGGGCTCTGGCCTCCCTGGACTCCCGGCAGAGGCTTTGCTCCCTGTAGTCCAGGACTCTGGCCTCAGAGGCTGAGTGGGAGAAGGGCAGAGGGACAGCTGGAGTCCCTGGACAGTTGAAAGGAGAGCCCGGGAGGTGGCGCAGCCAGAGGAGCCCAGGGCTCAGAAGCCTTGCCTGACAGGGAGGTGGCCCATTTTCACCCCTCCTGCACTCACCACAGGGGAGGTCACACAGCTGCTGCGGGGCGGAGAAGCGCACGTCCGTCCTCCAGCCCTGCAGGACCGGCAGCACTGATCAGTCTCGCCAATGCCCACCCACCTCCAGATGGGCATACCTGAAAAGGCTGGTCTGCAGAGCCTCCAGGGGGCAGGCCCAGCAGCGACACAGAGGGTGCTCCCCGGTAGGAGGAGAGCCAGGGGCAGATGAGGGGCTGGACAGGGCAGCTCCACATACTTGGACACAGATGCCAGGAGCGCAGGCTTCGTCCCTGGGAATGTCTACGAACACGAAGTCAGCCGTGGGGTGTGCCGTGGGGTCGCTCTGGTGGGAGTGGGCAGGTCACAGACAAGGGGGGGGCAGGCCCGCCTAGCCGGCATTCTTGTCCCGTGTGTGCACACGTGCGTGCGCCCTCAGCACCCTGAAACAGGAGCCCTCTGCCCTCCCTGACAGGAGCCAGACCCTAGGCTGGTCCAGGGCCCAGGTGGGTGGTAGAGAGGGTTGCAGAGAAGTGGGGGCCCTGCTGCCCCTCCTGGGGTGGACCCCCCAAGACTGCTCACTGAGGCTGGAGGAAGGGGGCTGGCCTGGGGTGCGAGGTGGCAAGCCGGCAGCCATGGCCTCCTTCTGTGACACAGGCGCACCTGGAAGTGGGCGGGGCTGGGCGAGAAGAAGGTGGCCCGGAGGAGGCCCGGGGCAGGTGCTGGCTGGATGGTCATCTTCCAGGCTGCAGGGCAGGAGGTAGGAGGCCCGCCAGGCTCAGTGCCTCACCCTCTCCCTTCCTCCCACCAAGCCCGGAACTGTGTACCCACCTCCCTACCGGGACGTCCACACGGCCAGCGAAGTGCCCCTGCGGCTCAGCCCCACGCCAGCCTCCCGCCTGCTGCCCAAGGACAGTTCACCTGGAAAGTGGCCTGCTGCCCAAGGACAGCTCACCTGGAAAGTGCCGTGGCTGGAAAGGGCACCTCACCCCGAGGCCCAGGTTGGTGGAGAACTGGAAAGAGAGGTCGGGGGACCCAGCGTGACAGACTGGGCTGCCTTAGGGTGGCTTCCTAGGTCCTTAGCTCCACCCACTGTCAGGTAGGAGGGCCCTTAGAGACAGGAAGCTGGACTCCAGGGCTGGGTGAGGCCCCGGCCCTGATGCTCCCTGGCCTCCTGGACTGCCTCCCAGCCCCTTCCCCAGCATGGGCACAACTCACCTTCAGGCAGAGCTGGGGTTGTGTGTCCACCAGCAGATACTTCACCTGAGGAGGGCTGGAGTCAGGGCCCTGGCCGTCCGTGCCTACCCCTGCCCTCTGGGAACACTCACCCCGCCATGTGCTGCCTGGCCCGAGTGCCTCAGCTCACGGCAGGGGCCCCCAGGCTCTGCTCGCCAGCACAGGCTCACGTGGCCGCTCACAGGACAGGCGGGCTCCCAGCTCAGGGCCTGGCTCCCTGGGTGGTAATGGATGGCGTCCCACAGCGCCTCAGCCTCTGCAGGAGCCCGCCCCCCCGCAGGCACAGTCAGCTGGTACCTAGCACCCACCTGAGTAACCAGTGGGCCAGGGCTCAGCGAAGCAGGTGCAATTCTCCTGCAGCTTTCTGAGCCTGGCCCGAATCTGTGCATGTGTGTACACATGTGTGTGCGTGCGCAAGGTTGCTGAGCAGAGCTGAGTAACCTTCAACCTGGTTCTCCCAGGTGAGCCGGCACTGGGTGTGCACACATACACTGCACACACACGCAGGCACTATGCACGCCCACATCCATGGACAGACTTGGTCACATGCAGGGCCAAGCCCGGGGGGTCACACTCTTGGCGACCAGACCTACGTGGCAGGCACCGGGGCCTGCAATGTCCCCCAACATGTCGGCCCTCGCAGCTGGGTGGTGCACTGGGGGCACCAGGCTCGCCTATCTATTGGCCCCCCTCTGCACCCGGGCACTCGCCGTCTCCAAAGGGGCACATCTGGATCCGTATGGCGTCAGGGGTGGCAGCCCAGCCCTGTGGAGAGGCTGTGGTCAGCGCGGCTGCTCTCCCCTTGTCCCCCCTGAACTGGTCCTCACACTCTCACGGACCTCCAGGCACAGGCAGGGCAGCTCCTGGCTGTAAGGCA